AAAAAAAAAAAAAAAAGTAGTGTGTGTGTATATATATTTTTAAACCATGTGTCCCCAGAGAAGGTTTTGATACATCTTGTGCAATCAGGAGTGAATTAGTTTATACTATGCCTAGTCTCAACTAAACACAAAAAAACAAAAACAAAAAAAACCTAACTAGAAGTTTGGCAAAAAAAAAAAAGTTGGAACAATGTGTCAAGATTTAATGGCTGGAAAACTAAAAGGTTGTTGCCTGTCCCTTTCTCAGCAAAACCCTTGCACATGAACAATATGAGTATTTAAGTTTTAACATCATCCTCCTTCCTCAGTTGTATCTTAATATTAATGTTTTGTTCATATTCTTTGTTGCTTGAACTGAAATTACAGTATGCATTTTTTTATTTTTTAAACTGTCACTTGACCCCAGATCTACCCATAATATCCCTCCCCAAGAGAGTCCCACAAATGGTGCCGTTTTTGCCTTTGCCCTTCTCCAAACCACACTGGAATGAACAGCTAAACCCAACAGATGTGTCTGAAAGGCCTCAATTGAAGCCGGAGAGTTGGGGGAATAATATTTATATAGGGCAGCCTTCCAGGCTGATTACTGATGAGCCGCCCAGCTTTTCTGCCAGGGTATGCCGGTCTTTGAGGTCTTCCAAACCGTTCACCTGCCACTCGTGCTTAATACCTGGTGGTGGGGAGCAAAATTACACATTACATTTTCAGATGAAAACAATTCTGATTGCATCAAATAAAGAAGTTCTGCTTTCATAATTTCACTTAAAAGTGCAAAAGTATTAAATATACTTAAAGTACTCATTATGCAAAACAGCACATGTATTAATGGATTATAATTGTGTACATCACATTTAACATTGCAGCTGGTAAAGATTAGTGATTGCTAGGAACAAAGGGAACCGAGTCCTACAGGGAGCTGCTCGTTTTCTCTGTGTCCAAATTTCACTGCCTGTGTTCTAAATCTATTTCACCAGGAGAAAGACAGCGCAGCAATGGTCAAGGAAGCTAGAGGGCAAATGAACAGAAGGAGCAGTGCTAGCAAAGAAGTGAATCAGAAAATGCCTTATTTTTCCTGATTGTTTCAGGGCAGTTATATTCTAAAGCAGAAATTAAAAATGGCCACACCTCCACACAACCTACAGGAAGGATTCTGATGGGTCTCTGCCCTGCACCCTCTGTGTAGTTAAGCCCCGGTCAAATGGAGACATGGGCCTTAACTAGATGCACTTTAGCAATTAGATTACACCCACTGACTGTATGCATGTATGTCGACAAACCCACTGTGATGTCACCCACTGGTTTTATAAAGACCAGTTTTGAAGTTCAAGTCTGGCTGTCACCATATTGGTAACACTTCACCCTGCCAACTACGGTTAATCCAAAAATGGGCAAAGAGGGGGAGCCAAATGGAGCTCGCTATAGAGATGGTGACAAGCCACCTATGGCTGTCACTCAAAGTGGCCACGGCCTTCATTGTGAATACATTTTAGTTTAAATGCAATTTAAATGGGCGAGTTATATCAAATTTCACCCCTTGTATAGTTGTCATGCAAGGGGCAACTGTCTTTTGTACCAGGCTGTAAATGTATTTATTTTTACATGTCTAAGTGGACTGACTCCCTTTTCAAACCAGCCTTAAGTGGCCATTTGAGGAACTGCAGGTTTTAGCACTTCTGCATTGGCTTCATTTCTTAGCCTTGGAGGTTGGTGCCAGACTACACCCCACAGGTGGTTTAAAAAAAGAAGAAAAATTGTTTTTGCATAGCTCCATGAAATTAATGGAGCCATAAGATATGGCACCTTTCAAAGAGCTGATATTCCCATCACTAGTAAATAGTGTTATGATTATACAGCATTTTATTTAATTCATCAGATTCTGAAAAGTAATGAAATAAATGTTTAATTCAGTAAGAACTACAATATTTGTCTCAAATGTGAAGTCGAAGTATAAATTAGCAGAAAGTGGAAATACTCAAGTACAAATACCTCAAAACTGTACTTCTGGTTAGATGCTAAACTGCATTTTGTTGCCTTGTACATGGGTAATGACAATAAGGTTGAATCTAATCTTAAGTAAATGTACTTAGTTACTTTACTTTTTACTGATAGACAAGTAGACATTTTCTGGCCAAATACAATATCTGATGAATAAAGATACTTAAAATGGTTGTAAAAACATTCACTCTACTTTTAGCTCAGAGTTTGAGAAAATCTCATAACACCTCAAGGAAATACTGAGCTCTTTAGCTGCAAACTGCTCCACCAGCTGTTCACAAGCTAGTATCCAACTTCACTCAAAGACAATGTACAGTGGGTTAACCAGAGCCTGTCCACCTGCTGTGTTGGGAAATGACAAGTGTGGAGGGAAGCAACCAAAGCTATATGATATGGCCTGAAATCCAAAACCTGAGCTGAAAAACACTAAAATGTTCAGAGAAGAAGGGGGGAGAAAAAAAAAAAAAAAAAAAAAAAAAAAAATTCAGGTGACATCTCTGTCATAGCGTTTGCTTTCACACCGATTCATGATTAATAGAGAAATATTGATAAGTGCAGCTTTAAAGTGGACACTGGGTGTGGTTAAGGCTCCGATCTGTTCAAATTAACATGTCTGCATTAACAACTTCATGATTCATTGACCATTCATCCATCAAACTAAAACCATATATACACACACTGCTACTCACCTTCGAATTTCCTCTTGATAGCATCTTTTGAGCTGGCATAGATCATCTTGCTCTTCAGTGGGGCACTATCTGGAGCCCTGCAAAAGGGGGAAAATGTATTAAAGCCAAAGGTCATCTTTATGAATGAATAAACCCTTTAATGTCTACTACTGACTGCCCTTACCAGAAAATAAAGACCAAGTCCTCCTTCTTTGTTTCTTTGGTCTCATAGGTGGCATCGTACAGAGCGTAGCGGCAGTCGTCTGGGGGCAGCATCTTCACAAAGTGCTGATATGGGTCATGGACGGTGGTTCCCAAGTCACCCTGCAGGATCTCTTTGCCATCATCCAGAACAATATTCTTGAGGTCCTTGCTCAGGCAGAACAGAATGGCCTTCTTCCTCTTTTTCTTCTCATCCTCGTTCGCCTGGGCCTTACGCACCTTCATGTCATTGAAGACGGAGATAACTTCATCTGTGACTTTGACACCAGAGGCCTGTGGAGAGAATCATCGTTTAGTGCATTTACATGGCAGCTGCTCAACTGCAACCACCCATAATTTCATAATGCAATTATTATTATTATTATTAGACAGGTAAACTCCGTATATATACACACACACACACACATACAGTACCAGCATATTAAAAAAATAAATAAAAAAATCGGAGGCAGTAAGGATTTAAAAAAAACCTTTAGATTGAAGAGTCTTCCTAATTTAAACACGTTTTAAATGTAAATGAACACCAAAGATCACTAGCTTCAGGGTGGAGCTGAATGACTGGCTAATTATGCCAAGAATTCTCTAGTCACAGCTTCTCAAAACTGAACATTTGCTAGTTTTCGTAGTATTCAAGTCAAGTATTCAATCAAGTCACATATTAGGGTTTCAGACTGCTGGTCAAAATCAATCTGAATAGTTCAACCTAGGCTTTTGGAAACAGGGACTTCTTGATGTGCTATATACAATTGATTATTCTAGAAAATAGTAAACGTTAAGGAACAGTATTGATATGCCCTCAGTTCTGCAGTGGTAGTTTTGTTGGTGAATTGACAATGGGAGTACAGACATGAAACTGAAGATGGGCCTGAGAGGGCGGCATGTGACTTTCACGCATACACCAGGAAGGCTCCTTACAATGACAACTGATAAGGAGCACCGAGATGCAAAGGTGTGGCCGTGACAGGCTGTTAGCCATGGTGGTGAAGAGTTAAGCAGTGTAATGCAATCTGAAAATGATCCATCTTCACAGCTGATGCAAATGAAACCAACGCTGATGATTCAGTCAGCATGAATTTTCAATTCAGTCTCAAATATGAAGTCTGATCGTACCGGGGGCGGGGGGGGATGTGGCCATTGCTGCTTTGTCCAAAGTCCACCTCTAGTATGAATAAGACAACTTTAACAGGTGTACATGTGACTGTGGCGGGACCGGCATGTCTAAAAAAAAAAAAAATTGCACAGAGAATTTGTCTAAGCAGAGGGAGCCGTCCTGTGTCTTGACCATAAAGATGACCATATGGGTGAGGGTGTGGTTAAGACTCAAGTGTCTGGTTCAGTCTCAGACAATGGGGCATCTGTTGGAATACAGAATACAAGTCATGTCGCCAAGTCACAGCAGCTCCATAAACCCCCTCAGTCATGTCTTCTGACTCCGTAACAGGAAAATGCAGCCTCAGAAGATTGAAGAAAACTGCTACCTACAGCAGTGTGTCAACAGAAAAATGATAACAATGAAAAAGGAAATAATGGGGCAGGAAAGACAGAAAAAGAACCCAACTGCAAGGCAGCACGGGCAGGCACTGCGTGTTTGCTCAGGGCGTAAAAAAGGCCTGTGTGAGATAACGGTGAATTTTAGAGTAATAATTAACCAGCTAAAAAGTGCATACACTTCCTTAATGCCTCCAACAATAACAGGCCGAGCATTATACTGTGATATTTTTCCATATTCCTTGTTACTGCCTTTTACAAATATATGCTTAAGTTTCTATACATGACATTTGTTTAACTACATTCTTCATCCATGGTGCTGCCCAGAAATGATCATGACCATCTGCTTTGCATGCGTTTTTCCTGTGCACTAAAATGAATCAAAGTATCTTTATGTTTCCACTTCATCCTCTCCATTCTTAGTTTAGCCCAATTTGCCATGATGTAGTTTATATTCTTTTTATTTTGATGTTCTTGCATCAAGTCAATATCACCAGGGTGATCAGTAATCTCTCACCTTATCTAATCCTAACCATGGTTACTTTTCTTTATATGAGTCAAGGTTCAAGTGACTCAGAACAATTGTGGTCACAGTCCAAGTCTCAAATTCCTTTGCATACGTTAACACTACAAGCCTCAGAGGCCATTACCATATGTGTCAAACAGCAGCAAAACACAAACCAAATAGGTTTATATTCAAACTACTAAAGTAAAAATAGACAAAAAAGTAAAGTGTGCAGCAGGCTGATTGTTAATACTGCAGAGTCAGCAATTAAAGGCAAGCAGAACACTGATGTTAAACTGTGCTATAAAAATTATGCTACAGGTATTCAGTTCTATAACTTTTTATGTTACGTATTATAGCGATGCTCAAAAATAACATTCTGCTTTATTTGTACCTACTTCAAATATATGTTGATGCTGCTTTTGCACTTTTACTTAAAGTAACATTTTGAATGCAAGACATTTACTTGAAAGCTGCATTTTTACATTGTGATATTATTTTTCCTTAAAGTATCTAATTAAGTCTTCCACCACACTAGCAATGAGCGTGAAAGACCGTACAAATTAAATGCGCAGCTAAAAAAAAATATGCGCATCATCGACCATGAAGAACCAGGGACAGCGGCCCATTAGCTGCAGCTAGCGGATCCAACGCTGCCACACTGGAGCTACATAAGTGATCATTTTACCAAATATTTCTTACATCCTAATAAATACGTTGCAGACCTCTCACCTAGCAGATGTCAGTAAATTAAATCTAACCGCAGATCCGTTATAATACGCACGACTGCAAACAAAATGGTCTTTGCACCAAATTCAGGGTGGGGCCATGAATGCAGCACACGCACGTGTGCGCTAGCTTGCTATATAAAGGCAAAACTGTGCTCAAACGTCTGTCAATTCACACATTTACTGTCAAAGCGCAATTTAATCATAACCCTACAATGCACCGATTTAGTATAAGTGTGGGCCAACGTCTACCTGATTTGAAGCACGCAGCCAACCACAGTGTAAAATACAGTGAGCGAGGGAGCGGTGTACAGACAAAGAACCAGAAAATCACAGCTAACGTTAGTGCAGCCATAATGGGTGTCATTTTCTGGCTTTGCTAACGTAGCTAACAATACCGTTAGCTAACCTAGCCCGGGGCGCTGCTGCACCTGCCAGGGCTGCGGTGTTATCAAGTGGAAGTAGCGAGGAGTACAGGTGAAATAACGGAAACATGATGCAGTAAACACACCGCGGAGCAGCGTAATAACGGTGTGGTTGACATTAACGCAGACGAGGCCCTCTGTACCACGGCTTTTTGTCAGCGAAACACGGCTAGATGAACGAAATGGTGCCAGTTACAGGGGGCCATCGGTCGTTTATCCGGTCTGTTAGCAAATTATCTTAAGAAAACAGCGCACACTAAATTCGCTGAATGTAATGAATGTAAATGCGGCTTCGTCGTGACCTGAGAAAGCATTACAGCTGTCCATCCTGTCGCTCAACGGGGCTGCTCACCGCCTAGCCCCGGCGCTAGGAGTAGCTCCTGCGGCACAACCGGCTTTCCATGGTTGATGCTAAAATCGGTCATCTATTCCAGAAGCACAAAATGACTATCCTCGCATTTTGAGATTAAGTGTGAGACACGGTGGAAGTAGCCTGAGTTAACGTGTGATATAAAATAAATAAATAAATAAAATAAAACAGCATTACACCTACCATGGCTGAAGATTTGGATCGGTCAGCGGCTCCGTACAAATTGAATGGACTGTGGTGATGAATCGATGCTCTCGTTCACACTTGGGCTCCACATGAACGTGCCTATATGGGCGAGCGACGTGCACGAGCAGAGGCGCACGTCTGTGAACCAAGAGGGTCCGGTGGTTTTGTTTGCTAGTGATTAATGTACTTTTGTCACTTGTGATTCTAATATAATTATTCATTTGAGTAATCAATATTGTAAAAAAAATAAAAATAAATAAAAAAGGTAATAACCTACAACAAAGTAATATTAATTTTACCAGGTAGCCTAAAAGAAAGACCTAAATTCTATCATATTTTTGACTGATGTTATTAAAACGTGATAATACCTGGCATCCCTTCAGTGGAACAATACTTCGACTTTTTTGTATGTTTTACATGTTTGTTTTTCGTTTCCTTGCAATATTCGTATAGTCTATTATTTATTCTTTCATTGGCGGTGGCGAGCTGCATGCATGAACAAACCAAACATACCAAATGGATAGCGGAGAGCATTATGGGAAAATGTATGCTAATTATGTAGCACTTTAGTAAACCTAGAAATCCCTGGAAATATCTGATATACCAGTCTATATTATAAGATTATTTAACAGTGCTCCATTTGTTCTTGATTAATAGAACTACCATGAAGATTATCCTTGAGGCTTTCAGGACCGCACAGGCTATTTCAAGATGATCTGCGGTTACAGGCTACCGTTATAATTATTATTAAATTGTTTTTATTTTAACCTTTTTTAAAAACAAGTTTGATTCATTAAATAACATTTTTATATATCTTTTTGTATGTGCCCACCATTATGAACAGCAGTGCAATATGAGTATAGGACTGAATACGTGCTTTAAATTATTACACCAATGGCGTGAGGGGTGGTTAATAAATAACACGGTGGTGATGCTGTTTTGACCAACATTCAGTAGGCACACAGGCGCACAGCGGTTTCCAGGATGGAAGGAAATTCTCCGCCATTAATGTCCCTCTCTCCCTCCTGTCTCCTGCCCACCCCTCCCCTCTCCCCCTCTATCCCTCCTGTCTCCTGCCCACCCCTCCCCTCTACCCCTCTATCCCTCCTGTCTCCCCTTCCCTGCCGTTTTTGTTGAACTCACTTCCAAATATGGAAGCGAAAGGCGAGCGGCGGCGGTAGGTGCACGCGCCTCGTTCCCAGCGCGCGGAGGGTCGGGCTGACGGTGATCACCATATATGGAAACAAGGGACACGAGATTCGCTATAGCAGATTTTCAAAGGGCACCCTGTCTAGATAGAGAAGGACACAGAGGGTCTTGAGGATGACTTCCACAGTCGGAAATGGAGGAGCGGAACATCCTGTATACATACATATGTGTGAAATGCATTTTTATATTTATAATATCTATACAGAAGTTTCTACAATATTCCCTACCTAGCACAATGCTTCACTGCTTTTGTTGTACTGCTACTTTATTCAGTACATTAGTGAAGTTTAATATAATCTGATATAATTTGAGTCACGTATTTAAGGAAAAGGATTAAACTCGGAATCCTGACTTTAATCTCACAATTATAACTTTTTTTCTCCCCTCACAATTCTTATTCTGAGAATAAACTCAGGATTCTGAGTTTGCATTACTCAAATTTTGTATAGTGGCCCTAATATTCTTCCATAAATATTTAAGTGTAATCTGAAACTGAACATTTTGTGGCTGCACAATTACTTCTAATGACTTTCTCAATGAAGTATATGCTTGACAGAAGTAGTATTTATGTAAAATGTGTGAAATTGAAAATAATATTCAGTGTTTATCATCAGTTTTTCCAGACAATTGTTTTTAATGTGAATCTAGTGTGTGATATTTTACATCCTCTTTTTGGTTTTATACAACCTTTATCTGACTTAAAACTTCATCCTTGATGATATGTTACAAAATAAAAAAAAGTGAATACAATAAAGAGTCATCAATAGTGTCAATCTCTGTTTATTCTTTATAAAACAGCATTTCTCAAGTCAAGGCCATCATTACCCTGCAACACATGATTACACTAGCTGTTACTACAATATTGCATGCATTTTATTCACTTTTGGAATGAGCAGTATACAAAAAAAAGCACCAAAGAGGTTGAAGTGCAAAAGAAAGTGCATAAAATGTCCTCCAGTGGAAAGGAACAGGCACGGGATGTGCAAAATGATCATGGACTGAGAATCCTCCATAATTATACTGTCATTTTGGCCCTGTATTCTTATGATGCTGACCCACACTATCATGAAATTACAATGTGATTAAAGCATTCAGCCTTTTGTGTTTCCACTCTGTGCTATAGCACAAAAATGTTAATTGTTGAATTGCACAATGCAGAATTATTACACACTACAGGATCATGCTTTTGCTCCCAGGTCATTTAAAAGACAACATTTTCTATTCCACTTTTCCAATCCAGTGCTTCAGAACGAATATGCATTCATCATACTCAGAGATGTAGTTGCAAATAATCAGTCTTTTAATCCAATGCCTGATTAGTTCTGAGCTGGCCTGAGAAGCCCTGCTTGGCTCCAGAAATGAAAACTAAAATCTACTAGACCCACTGTGCAGTCTACTTTTTCATTCTCTGTATGACTGATTTTTGAAAAATAAAGCTGATTGGATAAATGGCTTCACATAAACAAAAAACAAAGAAACATACCATTGCAAAGGTATCATTTTTCCTTTCCTGTAATATGGCTTAATTACATGTTATGCAACCATTGCACATAAATAATTTGAAACAAAGCTGCAAGCATGCAATAGTATTGAGCTGTACTGATAGTTGTGCATAGTTATTACCCCCCCCCAAGAAAAAGTTTGTCATATAAAGAAAAAAAAAAGATGTTGTACACTGATGTGTTTTTATAAATACCTAATTTGGTGTTTTATGACTGAGCTCACTGCATTTGGTGCCATTTCTAAATTTACACAGGAATAAAACCTGCAGAATATAGGTTCCTATGTTTTAGCTTACATTTACTGATGTTTGATGTGAAGGCCGAAGTTTAACAGAAATACTTAAAGGTAACTCTTTGGCTAAACAGGTGCTAGTCTTATTATGTTGGACGTTCAGCACCTTTGAGTTGTACAACAATGTCTGTCAAAGCATTTAAAAAGCTTCTGCACTCAACAAAGTGTCAAAGTGTGAACCCTCCTCTAATATAAAGCAAATCCACAAACTGAATGGAATGTTTTAAGGCAAGTGAGTGAAAAAAAACAAACAAAAAAAACAAACAAACAAAGAAATATATAGAAATGTATACGCTTACTAGCCAGAATTTTTAAAGGTAATTAAACTTTGCTTGAAAAAGCACCCTGACTACCCCCAACTGAGAAATACATAGCCATGAAATAAAAAATAAAGTACTTTATAAATTTAAAGGCAAACACTGACTTGTCTTTTAAGATCAATTGTAAACTCGTAAAATGATGACTGTCAATTTGCAGTATCAAATCTATGGCAGATTGATGTGTGTAATAACAGAGATGCTGGTGAAACCTGTGTCAATGTGCTTCAGCTGCATGTTTGTGTCAGCAGGTAGCAGGATAAGGCTTTAGTGCTTAATGTTTGCTTGTGTGCTGTGCTGATTGCACTGGATCGAGATTATGATCGTTCAGAGGTTGTTGGGTTTTTTTTTTAACTGGATTTCTTCTTGTTACCAGCGCTCGTCTCTCTTGACTTGTTCAGCAGCATGGTGGCCTAAAAACAGGGAATAAAGACAGTTCAAGTGCTTCTTGAAACATTTACTCACTTCAGTTTTTCTGTGTGGTTGATTCACTGAAACCTCTCTAGCCTCATCAGCCACATTTTAACCCTGCAGCGAGGATGCGGTCGATCAATTCAAACCACTTCTGCTTTTCTGTTAGCAGTGAACTGTCAGGGCCTTTAGGCTGTTGCTAGGTTCATTTCCTGTTTGTGCTATGTTCATGCTAGGTACACTTCATACATTTTTAATTGTTTTATGTAAAAGACTATGTATAAATATAAAAAAAACAAATGACTATATGTTATGTGAAAGAGGTTGTAACAGCATATGTATTAATTATACAGCCATATATACTTTTTGGCCTTTATTAGCTCATTGTTGTGGTTTTATAACACACATTTAATGTGTGGTTCAGTCTTACTACTCTTTCTGTCAAGCACCCAGCAGGTTTACTCCAATGTGATGTTTAAAGTTACTCCACTCTTAATTTTCTTTCTGCCCATATCGGATATATGCTGCGTCTCAATTCAGGGGATGCATCCTCGAAGGCTGCATCTGAAGACCGACTGCACAATAGCGTCATGACAAGGCCATCTCATTTCGAAGGCTCCTTCAAATGTGTCCAAGAAATGCATCCTTCTTTTGCTGGGCATTGAAGGCTCCAAAATCTTTCATGGCTCAATCTATTCAAAGCTTCTTTGTGCACCGGAAGAAAGTAGAGCAGCTGTCAAGGTTGCAACGCCCATGGTCCGGCCTTTGCAGTCTACGATGGCTACATAGGCCACACCTTAGCAGACCCTGTCCTCTGAATTGAGACACAGCTCTGGTATGTGATACCACAAGCCCCTCCTAACTGCTCTTTGCCCCTCCCACCACATTCTGTTTCCTAGCGACGATGAAAAGTACAGATGCTTGGTTGCAACAAATGGTACAAAATGCAGCAGCCAGTCTGAAGCTAGTTTTAGTTGACTAACGAGTAAATTTATCACTTCAGTAGAACACTCTGTTTACTGCTTATGTGAAACAAAGCACTAATGTTACACAAAGCTCGACTTAGTCCCAGACAATAAAAGAGAATAAGACAATAAAATATCATGGCTGTCTGTCCTTCGGCTTTGATAGGCTTCCTCTTTCCTTCTTGTGGCTGAAAATTGAGCAATAAAGTTTTAAAGCATTTTCAGATGCAAAATCAGTAGAACTGTGTCTGAGTATTTCTGAGCTAAAGGAACCCTGACGGCCTGTGAAGTGGCCACATAACCACTGGCATTTTTCTGATGACAACAAATTCTTTACTAATCTTGCAAATAATCAGAATCAGAATCAGAGGCCAGACGCGACCCGATCTAGATCAAAGACAAGTGCTTTTCATACTGCCAATTAAACAGCACCAAAACACTGCACGTATGTCTATGTGTTAAACAGTTTTTGAAGGTCTTCATGTCACAGTGGCTCTGTATTAAGCAAAAGCCATTTCAGTGACATTTTTGTCATTGTTCTTAACATCAATTGCTCCCTCTAGTGGCCTTAATATGTGCCTGGAGGGGAAAAACATTATTGTGATGACATAAAAGCTCTGAATGCCATACACCAGGCCTACTATTCTCACCTGCTCCAGGACGACACCTGCAGCCTGGTCAATGGCTCCTCCCACATTCCGGTACCGACCAGAGAAGCGGATGAAGGCCCACATCAACATGGCCACCATGGCCATGCCCAGAGTACAGTCGCACACCAAGGCGAAGCTTGACAGGCCGACAAAGAGAAACACACCCGACACCAAGTACAGGAGGCACACCAGGACAAACAACACTGCAGGCGTCCGGAAGGCGCTGAAGATATTTTTTGACTTTTACAGCAAAGAGAAAAGAAGAGAAATTATTTAACAATCCTGCAACTGCCCCCAAACTACCACACATGCAAAAATGATACATTAAATATCAGAATCTAAGAGGGAATTTCTTTTAATTTTTGTATATTAAAGTTAATGTTTTGTTTATGGAGTAGTCTCCAACCTCATTGTGTTTGCTGAATGACTCCCACATCTCCTTCAGCTGCTGTTCCAGCTGTGCTTGGTAACGGTCACAAAACTCCTTTCCGCCCATTTTCTTAGTGGACGAGAAGCTGTGAAGAGCCTCTTGGAAGTAAAAGTGGTGCTTCTCCTCCAGAGATTCAGGAGCCACATAGGGCAGGTCGCCCCCACACATCTTAGAAAGAGGAAAACAAAGAGACTGAAGAAGGCAGGAACACACATTTCAACTGCAGTGAATATGATTTGATCGGACCGAGCTGGGCCTGCTCTGTTCTGGTCTGGGTCAGCTGATGCTGACAGTCAGCAGATAAACTCGTGCTGTGTGTGGGTTATGTACACATTCTAATCTTTTCAGATCCAGTCATCACTTGTGTCGTCTGAGGAATTATCAGTAAACAAAGAAAAAAAAAAAAGGTGAGCAAAAAGGTTTGTGGGTGCACTGGATGAGCGAAATAAGGGAAACTCAGCACTTTCTTCTCTCATTTTTGGGCTGCTTCTGTAGCACAAACTCACCTGCATTTAAAGAGTGCAAGCTGCCGGTTGCCGTCCAATTTTGTTTTGCAACAAGGACAAGCAACAACTGGCGTTCTCACAGAAACTTCAGTCATGAATGGCCAGTCGTTGAACGTGTTTTCTAGTATATTTACTCAGTCTTAACCTTTATGCTCCTTTAGGGCTGTTTCAGACTCTACGCAAACTATGTAAACGCAAAGGTCACACAAGTATTTATGTACATATGCAATGGCTACCCAGCGTCTTGGCCGATGTGATACAGCGCTCACCCAATAGGGGGCAACTTCACACAGCCTGACAGTACAGTAGAATGACATCACAGTGTTTGCAATAATGCCCCTATTGGAAAAGTGAAATAACACTTGCGTTGCATTACAAATTTTTGGATGACACATTTTGCTACACTGGTAAGCATCAAACCCACCTTGCGCAGCTGGAAGCATGTGCACCTAATAGAGCCCTTTATGTGGAAGTTGGTGGAGAAAATCATTGTGTGTGGTTTGTCTAGTCTCTGTAGGTTTCAACTAATCTTCAAGTTTGTCCCAAGCTTAAAGAAGGAAAGCTTGTAGTCAAAACTTAATAACTATTACCAGTTTCTTATAAACATAATATTAGATTGTTATCTATCCTTCCTATGTTGATTAACAAGGAAACAAACTCTATTGTTTAACCTCCTGGGGAAACATACTCTCAAGATGTTGCCAATGATTATCACTTGTGCGAGGATTAGTGATTAATGCGTTGCCTTTCACAGCTAAGTTAGCCCACCTTCTCCATGTTTTTGTAATATTGATCTTTGGCGGTCGCCACAGCTGCCAGGTTGTTGGCCTCTGCTGTAGCCTGATGAGACAAACAAGAGTGAACAAGAAAAATAAGTCAAAATTATTGTTTGCCCTTGTTTAATAGGGGGGTGGCTTGTGCATTATGTTAATCCTGCACATACCATGAGCATAGTCTTTGGCTCTGGTAATTGTTCTCCCTGGTAAATCTTGATGTAAGCCTGGTAAGACAAAACTTACAGTATTAGATATGAAAAACGGGTTCAGGTTTATCCAGGTTACATACAGTGCCTTGCGAAAGTATTCGGCCCCCTTGAACTTTGCGACCTTTTGCCACATTTCAGGCTTCAAACATAAAGATATAAAACTGTAATTTTTTGTGAAGAATCAACAACAAGTGGGACACAATCATGAAGTAGAACGAAATTTATTGGATATTTCAAACTTTTTTAACAAATAAAAAAACTGAAAAATTGGGCGTGCAAAATTATTCAGCCCCTTTACTTTCAGTGCAGCAAACTCTCTCCAGAAGTTCAGTGAGGATCTCTGAATGATCCAATGTTGACCTAAATGACTAATGATGATAAATAGAATCCACCTGTGTGTAATCAAGTCTCCGTATAAATGCACCTGCACTGTGATAGTCTCAGAGGTCCGTTTAAAGTGCAGAGAGCATCATGAAGAACAAGGAACACACCAGGCAGGTCCGAGATACTGTTGTGGAGAAGTTTAAAGCCGGATTTGGATACAAAAAGATTTCCCAAGCTTTAAACATCCCAAGGAGCACTGTGCAAGTGATAATATTGAAATGGAAGGAGTATCAGACCACTGCAAATCTACCAAGACCTGGCCGTCCCTCTAAACTTTCAGCTCATACAAGGAGAAGACTGATCAGAGATGCAGCCAAGAGGCCCATGATCACTCTGGATGAACTGCAGAGATCTACAGCTGAGGTGGGAGACTCTGTCCATAGGACAACAATCAGTCGTATACTGCACAAATCTGGCCTTTATGGAAGAGTGGCAAGAAGAAAGCCATTTCTTAAAGATATCCATAAAAAGTGTCGTTTAAAGTTTGCCACAAGCCACCTGGGAGACACACCAAACATGTGGAAGAAGGTGCTCTGGTCAGATGAAACCAAAATCGAACTTTTTGGCAACAATGCAAAACGTTATGTTTGGCGTAAAAGCAACACAGCTCATCACCCTGAACACACCATCCCCACTGTCAAACATGGTGGTGGCAGCATCATGGTTTGGGCCTGCTTTTCTTCAGCAGGGACAGGGAAGATGGTTAAACTTGATGGGAAGATGGATGGAGCCAAATACAGGACCATTCTGGAAGGAAACCTGATGGAGTCTGCAAAAGACCTGAGCCTGGGACGGAGATTTGTCTTCCAACAAGGCAATGATCCAAAACATAAAGCAAAATCTACAATGGAATGGTTCACAAATAAACATATCCAGGTGTTAGAATGGCCAAGTCAAAGTCCAGACCTGAATCCAATTGAGAATCTGTGGAAAGAACTGAAAACTGCTGTTCACAAATGCTCTCCATCCAACCTCACTGAGCTCGAGCTGTTTTGCAAGGAGGCATGGGCAAAAATTTCAGTCTCTCGATGTGCAAAACTGATAGAGACATACCCCAAGTGACTTACAGCTGTAATCGCAGCAAAAGGTGGCGCTACAAAGTATTAACTTAAGGGGGCTGAATAATTTTGCATGCCCAATTTTTCAGTTTTTTATTTGTTAGAAAAGTTTGAAATATCCAATAAATTTCGTTCCACTTCATGATTGTGTCCCACTTGTTGTTGATTCTTCACAAAAAATTACAGTTTTATATCTTTATGTTTGAAGCCTGAAATGTGGCAAAAGGTCGCAAAGTTCAAGGGGGCCGAATACTTTTGCAAGGCACTGTACATGGAGGAGATGTTACCTTGAACAACTCAAGCAGGCCTCTGCAAGTGACTTTGTTTCCATTGATCTCTTTCTCAGCCAGATAGTCTGGATGTAGCAGTTTAGGAATCAGTCTCCCCAGCTCTTCTTTGAACTCTGGCGCCACATCTGACATCGTACGTGTAACAAGAGTTAGGACAACACTCAGCATATTGGGCATGCTGCTAAATAACAAGGCCAAACACAGAAGAACAGTATGGAAAATGTGTGATCTTACCACTAAGTTGTCCTCGAAAAGAAGGGCTGGTGGCCACCCTCAACCCAGGGTGAGGTAACAAGAAGCAGGAAATTTTGGTGAAGCATGAGTGGATGTGCTCCCTCACTGTTTGCAGCTCCTCATGCTGGGCCTCCTTAACCTTTAAAAGTCAAGAGAATACTTGGGTGAAATCCAAAACTCGTGCCAACTAAGCGTTTTTATTATATTGTTCCCGGTCAACAAGGCATCACTGGTTACCTGTAACCGTTTATCCAGGAACTGATTGCCTCCTTTAAACCCATAAGTGTATTCATAGGGAAAGCTCCAATCCCTGATGAGGAACATCAAAGACTGTACGAGGAACGAGAAGGCATTAAACAAAAATATCATTTTATAAAAAACATCAAACAAAGCAAGAACAAAATCACCAACAGTGCATCAAATTTTGTGGTTTCTCTTACCTGAAAAGGTTTCTGAAAGATTTCATCCATGGCAAGACGACCATACTCCGTGAACAACTGTGTGGGAGAGGAGGAGGAAGAGGAAGCAGCCATTATGCAAAACTAATACTGAGATGCAAATGTTAGAAGAGCACCTAAAGTTGAGCAGTGAATTTACTGAAACACCCTTCTGTCCTCCATCATCAAAGTGCAGACCTGTAGCTGCTGCAGGTCGTCCTCCTGAATGTTCTGGGACAGATTGTAGATCTACAATAGAGAATCAGTGTCAGCTCTGATAGTTCTTAGTACCAGCATAATGGCAAATTATTACACCAGCAATAGTCGTCGGAGATCAGTCACCTGTATCGAGCTGGTCATGGTGCTGAGGGCAAAGATGGTGGCGCAGTCCTTCACGGTGGACTCGTCATCGAAAGCCCCCTGAGTGTCCATCAACACTACTGCCACCTACAGCAGCGGAAAGACAAAGCATACAACATGGGGTCTTTGTTTTTTTGAACAGGGATGTTTTGAGAAAGAATACTGTAATTTGTGTTAAAATAAAATCCTTTTAAAAAATAGTTTTTAAATGAAAAATACCCTTCAAGTCATAAGCAAATAAAAATACAAAAAAATAGCTCAGAGGTATAAATAGTGTTTGGCAGCATTAGTGTAACAGTACAGTCGACCTACAGGCATGGTCTCCTTTTAAGGAAGCTGCAAGGAATCTTATTTTCATTATAGAGTATTTTTCCAGAAACTATTTATTGTTAAAGCTATAGTATGTAACCTTTTATGAATTTTTTTTTTTTGTAGAAATCTGCTCCAAAACTTGTCTTAATGTGGAGAGGTGCTGTTGAAGCCTCCTGTGACCCAACATCACACCATCTGTAAAAAAGCTGAAGCTGAAAAGAGGATGGCTTCTACAACAGGACAATGATCCTAAACATACCTCGAAATCCACTATGGAATACCTCAAGAGACGCAGGCTGAAGGTTTTGGAATGGCCATCACAGTCCCCTGATTTAAACATCATTGGAAATTTGTGGGTAGATCTTAAAAGAGCTGTGCATGCAAGACGACCAAAGAATATTACAGAACTAGAAGCCTTTTGCAAGGAAGAATGGGAGAAGATCCCAAGTACAAGAATTGAAAGACTTTTAGCTGGCTATGAAAAGTGTTTGCAAGCTGTGATATCTGCCAGAGGAGGTGTTACTAAGTACTGATTGTGTAGGGTGCCCAAACTTTTGCACCATGCCATAATAATGTTTTTATTTTTTATTTTTGTTCAATTTATGGCATAAGAAGTAACTATGCATCACTGTTTGCAGAAAATATTGTGCATTTTTTCCATTTCCAAGAGAAACTGTCTTAACATCTGTTCAAATAAAAAATCACCAAAATCTGTTATTTATCAAGGGGTGCCTAAACTTTTGCATAAGACTGTATTAGCTTCTAAAAGGTTTTTGAGCGGGACTGGCCTCCCTAACCAATCAGAGATTGTCAATAGGTGCTTTCGGACAGAAGGAACTTTTTCATAGTTTACAGAACAGTTAGACAAAGTACAACTACATTACCGAACCTGCTGCCACTACGACCCGACCCTGGATAAGCGGCAGAAAATAGAAATGAACAAAGTACCCCCTTTTGCATGTGCAGAACACAGGGACTGAGAATGATAATAGTCCTTAGAACACCAGCTTGAGAGACTTTTTTTAGCTCCTACTTCAGGTTTGGTACTCTCCAAGCACAATAGGCACCAGAACGACATTGACTGCAGTGGCACTAACTGTCACCAGTGGCATGGGGAGCTGCGGTCCGCCAATGACACCCTCTGCAGAGGGTTAGTGGATGACTATATAGTCAGCCACGTCTACTACAAAGCAGAATTTTTCCAGTAAATAGTGCTTTAATTGTCAGCATATGTTGCATAAATACATGAAGTAAAATGTGAGAACCTCTGATCCATCACTCTTTGGGATGAGGAACACTTCACTCCACAGCTGGATGCCAGTCGTCTCTGGTTCTGAGCCCCCTCTCCAAGAGAACCCAGTCAGCGGCTCATCATCCCGACCCAGCCAGTTTTCATCATCCTGCAGAAACATATTACACTTTCAAGACTTGTCAGGGGCAAGCTGAGACTTTTCAAGGACACTCAGTGTATCTAAATCTTATTCAAAACATTAGACATGCCTCGTCATGTGCTTTTGAAAATATAGCAGCAGCAATTCTGACCTGAATTGTAAACGGATCTCACTGTTCTGCATAATTTACAACACAAGAAAGTAGGGTGGAGACCAGAATCAGGTCATCATTATCTCCCCAGTCAGTGATTCTTTTGACTTCACTGTGTAAATGACAGAAAGATTAAAATGCAGCCAAAGTTCAACCTGACACTGGTGCTAGAAGAAACTGAGTTCTCATAATCAATGAGATTTATCAATGAGCACACAAATGTCAGGCAGGAAGTCAGTTTTTAAAATATGAACAGAAAACCCATACAGAACACATCATTTCATTGCATATGGACACCATTCCTTGTTAGAGGTAATGACTAAGCAGTCAATTATTCCTACTCAGACAACTAGTTCACATATTACAACAGGGATGGGCATTAATGTGGATTTACTGGATGTATAATTAGGTCATTTTCCAGGGTATCACACCTTGAACACAAGACGAGGAACCTGCTGTGAAGTCCTTGCTGTTCTCTTACTGTGTGGAAGTGTGGGGGCCGACCTTTAAAATGACTGTAAAATTCAATAGTCTTAATAAAAAAAAGAGTCATACCAATTACTAATAAGGCTGGTTACTACGATCATACACATTTACTGTTTTTCAAGTCCTACATAATGAAATGTAAAGATCTGGTGTAGCATAAAATAATGCAAATAATGTTCAGAGCAAAATTAAAGTTGCTCCCAGACTGTATACAAGAGTTCTTTTTAACACAAGAGAGCAAATATGATTTGTTGGTAAGTTTATTGTACAAAAAGCTAAAAAAGGGATTAAAAGGAGGTGTATTTCTTTTGTTGGGGTTAAATTGTGAAATAACGTTGACATAAATGTGCAGTTTACTTTTGGTTTTCAAAAGAATGGTTTATAAAGCTATGTTTGATAGCTTCAAATGTCAGTGATTTTTTTCTTTTGATTTTACTGAGGGGAGGTTAATAGATAAGAATTTAGGCTAAAGAAAAGCATCTAATCCTCACAGCAGACAAGCTGGAAGCAGACAGTGTTGCCACTAACTGACTTAAATGAATAATTCATTATCAAAATAGTTGCAGAACAATTATATGTTGAATGATTAACCAGTCAAATGGCAACACTTCAGCATCATCAATTTCAGGAGAGGGATCTTGGCCTCTGAGTTTTGCTGTACAATACATGTGGAGAGGTGAGACACTGAAAGATCATGTTACAGAGCGGCTCACCTTTC